ACCGACGACGGAGCGTCTCGAGTTCGGACAGCCTGCCGCCTGTCGGAACACCGCAGCTGTCACGTGCGACGGCGCAGCCGCCATCCCTCAATGGCTCATTGTTTACGTGGCCCGAGCCGGCCGGGCCGACGACGGCCTTGCTTGGGGCACGAACTGTCCGTGCGCCACGTGCCGGCGCGCGGCCGGGCGCCTCGACCGGGCGCGGCGTCGGACGGGGCGGAGTGAGCCCTCGGGCGTCGGGTACCGCCGGCCCGCTCGCCGCTGCCAGGGAGGATGTTCACACAAACTACGTCGCTCACGGCGACCGGCAAAGTACAACCGGATTCTGAAGCCCGCGTTTCAACCTGCAATGCCTTCCTTCAGTCAACATATTATTTCAATATTCAGGAAACGGTTGTGCAGCGACAGCATGTGAGCCAGTTGGAGGTGCCTAGTGGAATCAATTTTCCTGACTGGCCAGTTTAAAGTTGGCGCCGATCCCGACAGCTGAAAGGTTGATAACAAAATATGGTCGGCACGCCTCATGAATATTAAGTGGTGCTGCCCAGTCACACTGATGACTGTTCATGTCTCAGAACTCCAGCCCATCCTGTTTTGACTTTTTGTACTTTCGGCGTGAGCTCCTAACGTGTCGGTTTAGTTTCGCTGGCCTCAATGTGTAATGTGCCATTGCAACTCGGCTACAAGTCTCGTCCTCCCTGCGCTAAACGCAGCTCGCTTCGTTGAGCCGCCTGGGGCACGTCGCTTTGAACCGAAATGTCACGGCAAGAATCCAGTGAAGAAGCAGGAAATCGTTCAAGAACAATGCTCTGATTGTCTCGAAGTCGTGCGAGGGTGCTTTAGAGTCTCTGTCTCAAATTTGTCAAAATCGGGCTCGAGACTGTGGGACCGGAATACGCGGGTTCTGGCAAAACTTGAAGTTGGTGCGTATGGCGGAGTGGTTCCTAAGCTACAACCCTGATGCGTGCACGTTGAGTGGTGCGACATGCACGCATCTCGGACAGTTTGAGGACCTCATCCGGTTTCCGCTCACTCCCGCACACCCCGGCTCGCGTTCGTTTTGATCTCTCCAGCCAAAGTGTTCGGTACTTTATCTACGAAGATCTCAAAAATCACCGAGAGATGGCTCTGGCCTTGTTGCAGTTACCAGCTCAAGGTAGTTCTCAAATATCCGTGTATGCCAGGATTCCTGAGACCGCAGCCAGATTGGGTACAAGACCCTGAATCAGATACGCTCGGAGCAAAAATGATGCCTAATCTGGAAATGGGCATGCATGTCCTTGAGAGCGGCAGCGATTGCAGGAAAGAGCCAACAGTCGGTTACCCACTGAGCCGACATCGCCGTCCGCAAAGAGAGCGCCCCAGTGATGCTACTCACCCGAGTGTGAAACAAAGCGGTAGTCGCCGTCAGCCTCGTGCGTTTGGCTGGCCGACTCCTGCTCACGAGCGCTCGCGAGCGCTCCGACCGCCAGCCAGCGCCAGCAGCAGCGGCGGCCCTCCTCTGCCAGTTTCATGACGCCGCGAGCCGCGCCGCCGGTCTCTTCCGAACACCCACGCTGGCGTCGGCGGCTACCGCCTCATGGTCTGGAACGGGACGGACAGTCAGCGAGGCGCCGTGGCGCGAGACAGGCAGCTTGTGAAACGAGGGTTCGGGCACTGGGACCGGCGGGGCCCGACGCGTGTCGGTGCCGCGCTTAAGGCGGTACTGATTCGCGCAGAATACACCTCTCACATCCCCCATCAACCCCCCCCCCCCTCCCTGGCCAAGTGATCCACCAGGACAGCCCAGCGCCAGGCCGGGCGGTTTCGCGGGGTAGCCCACTCCTGAACGAGTGGTCCAGCAGGACAGCCCAGCGCTAGGCCGGGCGGTTCCGCGGGGTAGCCCACTCCTGAACGAGTGGTCCAGCAGGACAGCCCAGCGCTAGGCCAGGCGGTTCCGCGGGGTAGCCCACTCCTGAACGAGTGGTCCAGCAGGACAGCCGAGCCGGCCGAGCGGGCCGGGCTCACGCCACCCTCCTGTCTGCGGATCTGCGGATCTGGCCGGCACCCCAGCCACCGACGGCCGTTTCCAACGCAGGCTTTCCAATCCCGGGTCGTTTGGGGACGCCGTTCGGTGGGTTCGGCTGAACAATAGTGAATAAATTAGCAGTTATCGGCCCATAATCGGAACGTCGTCTCCGATAGGGCATGACGTACAATGTACTCTGGAGATCGGGCTGATGGGCGGGTTACACACTGCGTAATCGTGACCTTTTGATCGGCGCGCCCGTTGACTTGGTTAATTGCGACACTGAGGTACACACCTGTGTACACCTGACAATGCAAACCAGTATCGGTTATATGATGAGTGTCTGCATAGCAAGCCCGTTGGCCGCTTGTGCTGATGTGCTTTCATGTGCAGACGTGGCTTTCGGATGCCTTTAAGTCCGGTTGCAGCATAAACAGACGCGTGGTAGCCGATAGGGGACATAAAGGAACGTGTGTCGCGCGCATTGATGAGATAAAATGACGCAGCCAGCGCACGGCTGGAGTTTTGATGGGCATTGATGGCACGTAGTGAGCATGGCGTCCCTGATGCAGTGGGTGGAACGTTCATCCAGCAAGCAACAGCTCAAGCCAAGTCAAGGCAGCTACAGACCGACGACTGGATTTAGGCTTCGTACCAACTGAAAGTGGTCATTGTTCATTTCGTCAGCTGGACACAGGGCCGATTCTCTCCAGGGGGACGTCAAATCATTGCCCAAATGCCCGCGAACTTGGATCTGATTCCAGAAAAGCGCCCCGTGTCTAGTGCGTATCTCCTAGCTCTGGAGAGGGGGGTTTGGGGGTTGGGTGGGACATGAGCCCCGTGCCCCTCGGTTACGTCCCCACCGTCAGCTCATAACCGTTCACATGCATTTGAGGGGCCTGGGCCTGTACCACTGCGGCCAGCGGCGGCGGCGGCCGTGATGCGCCATTTCGTCACCGACTGCGACAACGCTCGTGCGCGGGCCCGGTGCACCACCGCTCACAAGCCAGTCTCGGCTCTGGAGCGGCCGGCCCGGTCGGCCGGTGGTGCGCCCTGGCGGTCGGCCCGATCAGACCGGGGTGCCCCCTGGCGGTCGGCCGGTGTACGGTCGGGAGCCCGGACCGCGCCCGGTCGGAGGATCGGCCCGGGTGCGCCCTAGCGGTCGCCCCGGGCGGCCGGGGCGCGCCCCAGCGGCCGGGTGGCCCGCCGTCGCCTGTCAGAAGGGGCGGCGACCGGCGCGGCCCGCCCGGTCAGACAGGACCGAGCTGGGGGCGGGCCGAGGGGGCCCCAGCCAACACTTAGTTCGCGGTTGATCGCGGTCGGTTTTCGCGTGCTCTCCGGCCTGAGGCTGTTCGTTCTGTTGTGATCTTGTCGTGCTGAGCGGCGCGGCTTTTGCGTTGATGTGGGTAGGTAATGAGTGGGTGCAAGTTTGTTTGCCTGGCGTAGTCGAACATCCCACCATTTCCGAACATTCCTGCCATGCACGAGCTGCATTTTCCTGGGCCGCCACTGACAGCAGAAGCCCAGACATGTCGGCTGATATCAGCAGAAAGCCAGACCGGGTCGGCTGACATGAGCAGAACACACGGCAGCCGCCGCCGATCTGCCGGTGTCAATCAGCTCGTCCTGCTCGCGCCAGCACCCTCCATCACGCGACACAGCCGGCCAGTAACTGACACACACCCCCCAGCCGCGGCCAAGGTCAAACAAACCCTTCCCTGCAGCTAACGACCCGCCAAACGTCTGCAGCACCTTGTTGTCGGCGCATGAGCCTTGAGCGCGCCAGAATCTGGACGCGACGCCCCGCGTGCATGTGACGGGGCGCCACGGCACCGATGGGTCTGGCTCGCCTGGCGCGATAGCACGCGGTATAACGTTACAGTTCAGCGGCTCGCTGGCCCCGCAACTGTAATGTGACCACATGTAACGGCGGTTTTCCGGCAGCCGACACCGTGTCAATCACAGCGCCGTTAAATGTCATGCAACACTCGGCCTGTACCATGATTTGACCTAACACCGTTATCGCATTTAAGAAGGATACGTGTATATACTCGCTCTTCATATATATAATGGTACGGAAATAACACTTCAACGAAAGCTCATGAGATAACCTATCCATGGTGGTTAAGATCTGATAATGTGATATATATATATATATATATATATATATATATATATATATATATATATATATATATATGTATGTATATCAAAGTAACGCGCTACGCAGCAAAATATCTCACGGCGGATACACACAAATATAATTTGCATATCGCTTCACCCACGTCACGACACACGCAAGCACAAACAATCCGCCAGAACAGGGCGGTTCCGACGTTCGCTCTACGGAGCGGAGGCGGGAGTGCTGCCATATACGGGCCTAATGGCAGCGTCTCCAATCCGGCTGCGGCGAGGAGCCGGCTCCCACGCTTACGCCCGGAGGTGCTCCGTCAAACGGGCCTAATGACGGTGATTTGGAGGGCCGACCGGTCCCACTTCTGGTGCGCCGACCGTGCCGCGCCGCAGCCCAAGCTGGCTGATGGGGCCAGGTGAGGTGGGATGATGGGATGGGATGAGGCGAGGGACGATTGGGTACGGCGTGATGCGGAAACGGCAGCCCAACAACACATGATGAGATGACTCATTAATTCGTGGTTTTAGTCAGATGATGTGTTATGGTGCTGCTGGCTAAGTTATAAATCATTGTAATTTGTTTAAATCCTACCATTTATGAATAATAACATATCTTGGTTTAACCAGAACATCATCTGGGTTTATGAGATTTCCAGCACCAACAATAGTGAAAGGTGGCCCAATAACATACACAAGCAGTGCATCAAAGAGCAGGACGTGTCTTAGAAGCGTGGACCTCCTGGAAGTACACCATCCATTTTCCCGACACCGGAGGCACCGATGACTGGTTAGGCCACGCGGCTGTATCTGCACGACGGTAATCACTCGGCCAATTCCTATCACAGGACTTCGTCTTCCTTTGAACTCACCACCCGCCTTGTAGGCAGCAGCGTAATCTGCTCGCGTGACATTAACCCCGCATTGCAGCGCGGCTCACTCGAAGTCGAGTGGCGCCTGCCGCGCGACAGTCCATTTGTCATCATCTAGCCCAGAAACCGAGGACGATTTACCGGCCGCGCGTCTGACAGCAATCTGCAGCGATCTGGCAGCATCACAAGCGGCACGGCGCGCCGTCAGCTCCCGCGCCACCGCCCGCGTGAATGCTTCCTGCGCCTTGCACCTCTCCGCGCCCTCTGCAGCGCTCCCGTAACTCTGCCGCACGGCGCACGGCCTGTCACGACCAGGGGCTTCATCCCGGCTGCCCCCGTGTCCGGCACCGCGACCGGGTCTCATCCCGGGCCGCCCGCGTGTGCTAAGTCACCACCCCTGGGCGTTCATCCCAACCGCCCCATGTGTCAGGGCACCACGACCGGGTCTTACATCCCGGCCGTCTCCTTTGTCCCGGCACCACGACCAGGCGTTCGTCCCAAGCCGCCCTCCGTGTCAGGCACCACGACCCGGGCGTTTCATACCCGGCCGTCTCCTGTGTCCGGTACCACGGACCGGGGTCTTCATCCCGCGCTCGTCTCCTGTGTCAGGCACCACGACCGGGTCTTCTTCATCCCGGCCGTCTCCTGTGTCAGGCACCACGACCGGGCGTTCAGCCCTGCCGTCTCCTGTGTCAGGCACAACGACCGGGTCTTCTACATCCCGGCCGTCTCCTGTGTCAGGCACCACGACCGGGTCTTCATCCCGGCCGTCTCCTTTGTCCGGCACCACAGACCGGCGTTCGTCCCAGCCGCCCCTGTGGTCCGGTACCACGACCGGGCGTTCATCCCGGCCGTCTCCTGTGTCCGGTACCACGACCGGGCGTTCGTCCCAGCCGCCCCCTGTGTCCGGTACCACGACCGGGCGTTCATCCCGGCCGTCTCCTGTGTCCGGTACCACGACCGGGCGTTCGTCCCAGCCGCCTCCTGTGTCCGGTACCACGACCGGGCGTTCGTCCCAGCCGCCCCCTGTGTCCGGTACCACGACCGGGCGTTCGTCCCAGCCGCCCCCTGTGTCCGGTACCACGACCGGGCGTTCGTCCCAGCCGCCTCCTGTGTCCGGTACCACGACCGGGCGTTCGTCCCAGCCGCCCCCTGTGTCCGGTACCACGACCGGGCGTTCGTCCCAGCCGCCCCCTGTGTCCGGTACCACGACCGGGCGTTCATCCCGGCCGTCTCTTGTGTCAGGCACCACGACCGGGTCTTCATCCCGGCCGCCCCCGTGCCAGGCACCACGACCGGGCGTTCGTCCCAGCCGCCCCCCGTGTCAGGCACCACGACCGGGTCTTCATCCCGGCCGCCCCCGTGCCAGGCACCACCACCGGGCCTTCATCCCAATGGCCCCCCGCGTCGTACACCGCTGCAGCGAAACAGCCATGGCAATGGTCGCGACGAACTCCTTAATCAGGTGATGGCAGGGTAGTGCCAGTAGAGCAGTTATGTGAAG